TACCAGGTGCGCACGGGCCACCAGAAATTGGTTTAAAGAACCAAAAGCTGCTACAGCAGCAGTTCTGATTCGTCATGGCATTACAGTCGTGTCGACAAGCTACAGTCTGTCGAAGTTGGTCTGGAGTGGCTCTTTTGGGTTGATGGCCCCTGCTTGCCACCCTTGGACTTTCGGCGACTGGGCACGGGAAGCTCCCAAGCCCCTCAACGCCTAAGTACACCCCTCAGCCCCTGAGCCTGAACCCCTAACCCCCCCCCTTTTACAAATTCTAGAAACCCAGGCCCCGAACCAACCCTGCACTATCCTGGAAGCACTATCCTGGGCAGAGGACTTCTCGGTCCGACTCTTGTCACCAGATCCGGCGGAGCGAGGCTCAGCCTCGGAACTGCTTGCAGGCCGGCCCGTCCTTTTTAAGGGTGCTTAAGACTGAAGGCTTAGTAAGGTTCTTGGAGATTTTAGAGCTTTCTAGGCTTCAGTTTAGGAGAGGGGTTGAGAGTGTGGGGTAGTGTAGGGGATCTACGACGAACCTACGAAAATCTACCAGTCTACGTGCTCTCTTGGAACTCTGTGGACAGCGGGTGGGTCTGCAGAGTCCCGAGGAGCAACAAGCACGTAGGACCTCTGGCTTGTGCATGCTTGTGAGCCTACGTTTCTGCATTGAGACCCTCTGCCCAAGCGCATCCTTGTCTCCAGCTGAGTCCTCCACAGCGACCATTTCAGAGATTTCGGAGTCTCAACATGACATGTTGAGAGTCAGCACCATGGGTGCACCAGGTGACTGGCTGCAAGCTGATGAGTCGCTGTTGGTGACGAGCTTAATTAGTTCGGGGGATCTGGCAGCTGTTGTGGATGGGATTGGTTTGCAGTTGTCGGTGGTTGGTTGAGGCCTTTGGGCAACGTACTCCAGACTGTTTTTGCTGGAGGCAAATTCTCAACTACACACTGCAAATCTCTGAGTCATCCCCAATTCGAGCCACAGAAATCGAATGTCCCCTGCTATTGGGTTCTCGAGGCTAGCAACGAGCGAGGAAGCTCATCACCTTGCCCGCGGCAGCATCCCGGCGCCAAGTCAGTCAGGTATGTGACTTATCAAGGCAACAAATCCAACGCGACCGAAAAAGGGCTCGCTTTGTATGCACCCCAAATACGATAGAATCTTTATTGTGAGAAACCTTTCTAATGGGGAGCCCTGGTCTGGGCCCAAGTGTAAGATAAAACACGCAGGCTGCTCGAAGCTTCTGAAGTATTCAGGGTCACCAGACTCGATACTCCGCAACCCAAAAGTTAGAATCCTTACAGAAGGCCATGAACTTTTAAAGCCTTCTTGCCCGGCTCACGCAAACCCCAACCCCTACTGCAGCACCCGCTGTGGCATTCGGCTTGGTCTGAAGGTCTGAAGTCGTGCGGGGTACAGGGGGTTTAGAGGCTTCATAGGATCCTTGAGCTAGGGCCTGAATTCGGCTTCCTCGTGCTTCATGGCTTTGAAAGTTTGGCTTTGTTGCTTTGGTTGGGCGCGCGCGTGCGTCCTTGATCATAGCTCCTGACCATCACTGGGTCATCCCCCGGGCCTTCCCAAGTCATCGTCATCCCAAGTCTGCCCAGGATCATCGGCTTTCACACCCTGGAGGCGGGACAGTGCATGACCCGGTGCTTGGTAGTATGGCTGTTTAACTGCGCACACGGGGACGGCGCGGACCAAAAGAATCCCCGAAACTCGACCGCGTGTCGCCCACTTCGGCCGAAAAGGCCAAAGTCACCTTGCCAGCTCCAATAGCCGACCCCTCATCCAACGAACAGGACTTGTTCTGGGTGTTGATCTTAGCCTCTGGCTCTTGAAGAGGCATCGTTGCACTGACACAGATGTCAAATCAACCTGTGATGGAAACCGGACTGGCTAGTTATGATTATTGGTTTTGTTTTGGTGTGGTCTCGGTGCTGTCATGAAAAAATTGCACCCAAAGTGAATTGGAAGACAGCAAGCTGCCCGGATGCATTTCGTCCCACCTGAAATATGCAACTGGCCTGTCTTGGAAACCTTTCAACGCCATGCTCTCATCCTGCACTCTTTCGGGAAGATAGCTGAATGCATATAGGCGCAGGCCCATGCAGTTGCATGTGGCTTTCGAGCCCTGATTCCTCTGTTCTTTCAGACGGTGCCAGCTGCACGAATGGATTTAATTAAGAAGGCTCCAAGAAATTCATTTCGGCATTCTTCGGGATTTCTGCGACACGGCGGAATTATTGACATAATGTTCAGACTTCGGCACGAGGAGAAGTCATTGCCAAGTGCATTTTTCGGATGGTAGCAGATGTCACGTGGCCTAAACAGTCGTGGTTGTAGGACGTGCGGTGGTCCTTGACTGCTGTTTGGGGTCGAGTCTGGTATGGACAAGATGTACCCGATGTTGAGTGAAACGAGCAGCACACATCAATCTTGGAATAGCTGCATGAAAATTGCGTGCAGGACACAGAGACGGCTTTCTCTCGTTAAAGATACATAGAAGGACCGTGTGATGCTCGCGCGCAGAATGCTACAAACAAGACCTAACAACAAAAGAGACGTCGGGCGGATGCCTGTCCCAGTAGCTAGCTGTCCTGTATTTCTGAAGTGACCAACAAAGCTTCTTAGGTATGCACATACACATCAGTACATCTGACGTGAACTTGACATGGAAACAGCTCACAAAGTGCGCTCTCACAGCGTCCTGGTCTCTATATTGTTTTAAGGATGGCCGGGGTCTGTGTTTTTGCTATCTACCCATGATCTCGACTCCAGGCAGGATATTGGATATTAAGCCAAAAAGTCCATATGAAATATGGTCCGGGATCCAAGATCCAATGTCCAAGATTCAGGGGGGAAGTTTGGAGGCACTCTTGTATTCAGTACGGGGCCGGGATCCAAGATGCAAGATTGTTCCTCCCTTGCCATATTGAATATCGAAAAACCGCCCCGTCTTGAGCATTTAGCACGAAACAAAATATTCAATATGGGGTCCGGCGAGGATCCAAGATTGATCCAAACGTCCACATGGCAATCTTGGATCTTGGATCGCCCCATTGAATATTGAAAAGTGCAGTATTCACTATGGAGCGGGATCCAAGATCCAAGATTGTAAGGGAGTTCGTGCAGGCAATCTTTTGTGCTAAGCAGATCTTTTAAGAAGACAGCACTTTTAACAGGACTTCGAAACATACTCAAAAAAGCAGGGGGTGATACGGGTGTACCCACCCCGAAGCCCTATTGAAAGCTTCAGATCCCGAGCAGCTGCACTGATGCAGGCCGCAGCCGAAACGTGGAAGGCCTTGCACAAGCGCTGAGGCTCGGTACGGGTGGTACGTACAGTGGGCATGGTATCGACTCAGAAAATCAGAAAAAGAGGTTGGAGCTCAGAGAGGGCTTGAGGGCATGAGGCTTGGAGAAAGCGCAGTGGACTCGAATCCTTCAGCCCTTGCATGGAGAAGGCTGACCATTCGAAAGAGGAAGGTCGCGGCGAGCCCTGCCCCTCCTCCTTCATACCCAAGCCGACGTCGGGTGCGAGGAAACCTCGAAACCCTGAGTCCACAAATACCCCAGGGCCCTGAGAAAAACAAGGCTGTCAGCTTTGAAATCGAATGCCCAGGCCCAAATCCTCAAGTGTCGTGGAGGTTCTTTGGATGGTTTCATCATCTTCCCTGACATCGCCGATGTGCATGCAATTCGGCCAAAATTGATGGCTCCAGAAGGTTCTCACGATATCACCCGAAATGTTTTGATGACTTTTTGGATCACAGGAGCCGCCACGAGCGGTCACTGGAGGTGATCCTGATCCTGTGTGCTACAGCTGCACACTGTGACGGCTCCACATTTGAAGTGCGTGCTCGTCAAGTATTTGAAATGTGCCAGGCTGTACAGATTCGTATGTGTACATACTTGATCAGCCATCTCACTTTAGACTTTCTTGCCCAAAAGGCTTTTAGTCAACAGGTGACACAGGCGACGCAGCAGCGGCTTTGGCTTTCCATTGTGACAGAATTTCGTGGGAATGGCATGAACTACATGTCTCCGAGTCACAGAGTCATGCTGTAAACATTTGCTCCCGGCTGTCTGTCTCCCAACTGACAGAGCCCAGTTGAGGGCGTCGCTGTTGTGGAAGCCTGGGAACAGGCGGAAGGGGCGCTGAAATGGGGGTTGCTGTTAAGCGGCTTGTCCAAGTTTCCATGATGAAATAGGGATACCTAAACCCTAAACCCGATATAAACCCTAGATCGCTGTATCGCATGCTCAAACAGAGATATGTATACGCATATATATATATATATATATACATACATACATACCTTCTGTAGTGAACATTATGTCCTTTGTTTGGTAGCTTAGTTTGCCTCAAGGATCTTACCAGCAACCCAATAGAATGCTGAGACGACACATCGGTCCCGGACACTATGGGACTGGCCAGGCGCCAATCGGAGCGGTCTACGTGCTGAGTCAGAGCTCACATGGGACTGAACCGTTTAATTTCCTGAGATTTCAGAAAATCCCTTTCTTAAGCAGGACCTTGATGCCCTTTGAACACTCTGGCTCCGCGTGACCTATCGATTTGCGTCTTTTAATGTTGTTTTTCTTTCGGCGACCCGGGCGTATGACTTCTTTTAAGCGCGGCCTTTGCTCAGGGTCAAGCGTGTCCCTCCTGGAAGATGTCAGCCGAGGCATAGGCCCTATAACCTCAAATGCCTCTTCAGACAGCCCTAATGAGGCCTGAAATATAACAGACTTTCGTAGGAGGACGTCGGGAGGCTGGTCGCAATTTACTTGTGATCAGAAAGCATGCCTGATCCTGGATTCGATTGCTCCTGCGACACGTTACAATTTCTAGAGCCGATGTCTCTCTGTATCGCTTCCCAGGATTTGCCGAGGTCGCGCTACCGAGCTTCGCGGTCAAAGGAAGGAGGGCACTCGAAGGGACCGTTGCGTTGTCGACACTCTAGCCCTGACGGTACTAGTCATTGCCAACACATGCCAGGTGAGCAGCTTCATTTCCAGCTTCGAGATGCCAACATCGTCCCTAGCGTCGCTGACTTAGCCTGCCGCGATCAGCTCTGGGATGAAAGTTCGGAAGCATGGCTTTGATACCTCGGAGGATCTGCTACTTACAGCATGGAGGGGCCATGGACGAAGGGTCATGAACATCATAGCTTCATCATACGTCTCATCCCTCGACAGAAGCTCAAGGAGGTACCTCAAGACTCAGCTCCCAGTTCATTGGTTTGTGCAGTTCATGGGCGAAATCGGGTGAAGGGTCATATGCATGCAAAGTTTAACCCCCCGGAGCTCTTTGAGGTCCGAACCGCCGGACGCTACAGCACTGCCCCCGGGCGAAGACTCGCCTGAGGAGCTCCGCTTGTTGGCTGAGTTTGTCTTTAGTTGAGCGTGGGGTTGTTGGGCTTGAGGACTCTGAGTAAATATAGATCAATGAATGGTTGTCCTCTGCAGTCTTCCGACCTGCTACAGTAGAGAGGCAGGCACAAGTTTGCCCAAGTTCGCTGAATAAAGGCATCCCACATAGAGCGGATTCTAAAGTAGGAGAGCATTAGCTGTCCCATACGCATTGCGTCCAAACCTTAAACTGTAAACCCTCCTCAGCTCATAAAGCATGGGACTGGCATGTGGGCAGGACCTGGACAAGCCTTTGCCTCAGCAGATCCTGGCGAGGGCGTATGGGGTGTCAGGCATCTGGTTCTCTGAGGGCTAAAGGATCCGACAATGACACAGCAACAATGGCTTTCCCTTTCGATGGACATCGTCTTAGCTTGCAAGCGCCGCAAGCGCCCCAGCCGATTGCTTACATAACAACAGCATGGAGAAGAAGGCACTGGACCTACACAACTGCGGGTGGCCAAAGGCAAGAAAGACAAGAGCGATTGTACGCAACGTTGTTTCAATTGGAGAGCGCGGCAGGGAGTAGACTTTCGGTTGGGCCTGTCAGGTTGTTCCCCGTTCATGTTTGACAGCCTGCTCTCGGCGGCCAAACGGCTTGGATTTTGAGTAGCCAGTGTAGCCACCGAAGCTAAGCTCGAGAGGCTGCAGTTCAACTGACCTCATGTTGTGCATTGTTGGTTGTGCTTGGTTGTGCTTGGTTGTTGTTAGTATTTGTTGGTTATTGTTGGTTGCTGTTGGATGTTGTTGGTTGTTGTTGGTTGTTGTCGGTTGTTGTTGGTTGTTGCTGTTTGCTGCTCCTGCTTCTGCCGCTACGGGCTATGAGCTTTGGTGGGTGCTGTTCTGTCGTCGTTGTTGTTTCGTTGCTTTCTGCTGTGGAAACAATGCATCTCTGTAGCTGCTGTCTACATCTGTCAATGATGGAAACAGCACATAGGAGAGATTGTGTTGCTCAGAAGACGGGGAAGACGTCACAAGGGCAATACTGAACATTCAACTGTTGTGGGGGTGCCGCTGCCGCTGCCGCTTCCACTGCTGTGTTGGTGTTCCCGAGGCTCCGTGCTCGCGTATTGCGGAAGTTCTGCGTTGCGCAGGCTCGGCTTATGATGTTGCATGTCGACATACCACGTGCTCCATAGCTTAGCAGGTCAGGGTGATGCAGCTTCGGCAGAGAGTCATACAAGGTGTGACGAACTTTCACACACGAGGCCCGAAACACCAAGCTCCATTGTCAGTGAGCAGACCGCAGATTTGTGTCGCAACCTAACCGATGCCTGAACCTACCCGTTTTCACTACCATGGCCTGCCCTCCTGAACATGAAGCCCAAAATCACGCACCACTTTGCACCGCTGTGCGAGCTGCTATGTACGATCTGCTTCCAGGTTCCGGAATCCTTCTTCAGCGTGGTGGCTTGACTGGTTTAAGTTTAGGGTTTCGCTTAAGAATGTTGAGTCTTGCCCAGGCGAAGCCTCGAGGGCTTTGAGCCCTCGCACAGATTCGGGTCAAGGCGTGATCTACTGCTGTACCGGTTCTAGGGCTGGGGGTAGTGGATTTGGTGAAAGAGATCGCTTATACTTTCGTTATCTGTAATTCAGGGGCCTGGCAACCCTTGCAAACCTTTGCTTCGACATTCCAGATTGAGGTGCTCACGCTGGACATTCTGCCTGGTCCTTGTGGGGGGCGGGGGGGGGGAACGGGGCTTGCAGTGTGCCAAGGTCTGGGATGTGGCTTGGCTGCCGTGCTCGGAGTTTCAAAATGGATCAGAATAGGGCATCAGACCAGAGTGGGTTCTGGAGTGTAGGGTTCGCCGAAGGTGAGGCGTGATATTGCACAATCCCAGTTGAAAGGCACATTTATGCACAATCCCGGTTTAAAGCTTATGCACAGAGACCACTGCAGCAAAGTTTGTCCGCCAGGAACAGCAGTGGATGTGAGGGGTTCGGGACTTTGGGGTCAGGAATTGGAGAGGCTTTAGGAGTTTGAGAGTGCAGTGGGCCCTACCGGGCTTTGCTGGTTCTGTGGCCTCACGCTGCGGATGCCTCTCAGCCCTTGGAGCCTTGCAGACCAAACTCTCCACGTATACCCTGAAATCAGCCCATTGTGGACCGGAGACCCTAAATTGCCTCGCATCCGACCTTCCAGCCTTGTCCAGCAACCCCTTGAATCCTGAAGCCTTCGGTTGGGCAGCGATGAGGATCGCCCACGCGTTCAAGTTGCCGAGTCGACTTTACTCACCCGTGCGGCCCTTGGGGTGCGTGGTACTTTCCTCAATGGAGCGCAATGGAGCTACGACCAGCACAGAATATCTGTTCACTCCGGTTTGCACCCTGATTATCTAAACGCACCAGAGAAGGACCTAAATCTCCACAGCACATTGAGCTGAATCTAAAACGCCCCTGTCATTCTTAAACCGCAAAGCCCCAAAATTGCCTGAAATCCCAGGGCTGCAAGCTCAAGCCCCGCAAGAAAAGTCTTAACAACTAGCGCTTCAAGGCTCGTAGGCCCAGAAGTCATCTGCAAAATGCACATCCCAAAGCCAGTGCCAAAGTAAACCCCTGTGGGGGAATCCGGAGGTCGAAGCCGAAGCCCGCGTCTTTGTCCTGGTCACCGGGGGCCTCGCCACAGCTGCATCCCCAGAACCTTACCGCCCATTGTGGTGAGCTTGTTCATGTTTACGGTTCAGGGTTTTTAAGGTTAGGCTCAGAGTTGAAGGAATCAGGGAAGTTCACGGGTTTGCGGTTAATGGAATCGGTCCAACAACGGGTGCTCAACATCGCGGACACTCGATAGCGATGCTACTCCAAAAACTACATCACATTGTTCATCCGTGAACTTAAGAAAGCTGAGCTGCACTGACCAAGCAGGTCCCTCGTGGTCTTGCAAGAGACACGGCCAGACAGCTATAAATCTGGCAAGAGCTACGTGACCCGAAACAACTCAAAATGCATTGCCCATACCTGAGCTCGGGATTAGTCTCTCCAACCCTTCGTTAGCTGAGTTTACCCTGGCGCTCGGATTTGCGGACATCATCATCTCCATGTGGATCAAGACCGACTTTGTGCAGGCCCCTGGCCTTGGGTACTCGTGGCATGAATGTTGGATGCTGTACGGCAACGTGCCAGGCGGAAGCCGGTTTGTTGTCAAGGCATTGAAGGCCTCACTGCTGTTGCAAGTTCTTTCGGCGCAGGACCATGCGAACCTCGTGTTGTTGTTCTACTTGGTCGAAATCTGCAGTTGGCGTGTGTCTCAGCCTCTACATGCATAGTTTTCAAGCGCGTCGTCTCCTAAATGCCGAGGTGGCCATTCCTAGCCCAGATGGTCAGATTCGACCACATTGCGACAATGGCCTGAGGCTCAGGTCCAACCAGGCCTAGGCACATTATACACCCAAAAGAAGCCATGGAGTGGGATTCGCAAGTAGGTTGGAGCGGCGGAGTCGCGTAGGAGTAGAAATGTTGCCCCCTGCCTTGGACATGATCGGTGGAACCACTGATGCGAAGAGCTGAGCTATCATTGGTCTGACTTTTGGTTTGGCTTTCGGGACATACTGGCCACTCCCAGCCGTCGGGTACTTCTCGAAGGACACATGTCGACTTGAAACGAGTGGTCGCTGTCTTCGCCTTTTAACACAGACATATCAGAGCTGGTTGACGAAAGATCCCGTCAAGGACTTTTGCACTTTTACCGAAGGTTCTGTGTTATGCTCCGGGACACTCCGCACTGCACAGGTCCGATACTTATGCAGCGAAGTGGTGGTCATGATCCTCCTGGTTGTGCAGCGGCCTTGTGAGCCCGCGTCGTTCCCGACGGCTTGCAAAGCATGTGCCGTGCTAGCACCCAAAAATCCTAGGAACCCTTAATTGGCGCTACAAGCCCTCATCTCCAGAAACAGAAGCCCCCAAACTCCAAAGCCCATTTCTTGCCGCCGCGCTTTTCAGGGTGGGCTTCTACGCGATTCCTGGCAGTGCCAAGCAGGGACCCCAGCCATTTGGACGGTCTAACCTCCAGCGGACTCCAGCGCTTGGAAAAGTCGACTTACCTACTTAGTAGGGGCCACGACGAAAAGCAGCCTGTGCATTACAGACACTGCAGATAGCATGACTGCAAGAAGACACCAGAAACCACAAGGCCGAGCATCTCTAACAAGCTTTTGTTCTGAGTACTTACGTTGAACATGTTCTCCTAGCACCTCCATTGAAAAGTAAGAATCCAAGAGTCTTGTGGACAACAGCTCATGCACCTCTCCGTGAGTTCTCAGGTTGCGGGGCTCGGTGGTGAGCATCATCCTCCACTTCATCGGCCAGGCCTGCACTACGGCGTAGGGATGGATTTAACGCTGAAGGGGTTTGGGGGGCTAGGGTTCAGAGTGCGACGCTTCGAACCCAGGATCCAAGCACAGCACACTAATCGCAAAAGGAGATTGTGGAAGCCCAAAGGCCCGCTTTGGACCGTGAACCCGTGAACCTTCCTTCTGCGAGCCCTGAACCCTGAACCATTCCTAGAAGCCTTTAGAACTCCAGGCCGTTTAAGATTAAACCATATTAAACCCCAAACCCCTCAATCCCCGAAGCCCGCTTTGTCCCTAAACTTGCCCCTTGACCCGGCGAGGTCGCCCTGGCTGCCACGCTCAGTCCTTTTTTGGCCGCCTCCCTGGGCTTTCTGCCGTGGGATGAGATGAGGGTTTGTAGGGTTTTGCGTCTCAGGGTTTAAGGTTAGGACGGTTAGGACTTCTCTTGGCCCTGATGTTTACCCTGGTGTTCAGGAGTGCCATGGTGGGTTGAAGAAGCTCAGCGGGCAACTTAGGGCTTGAGGGCTTCGAGTTTAGGCCATTTCTGCTCTGACTCTCCTCGGGCAGTGCAAGAGCACGGTGGACGCCCTGTCCATAGCGCCGGTCCCCACCACTAGATAACTCTCAGGCTTGAATTTGGAACCCCGGTGTTGTATCACACCCACTTGCAACCACCAAAGATGCAACCACCAAAGAAGCAATGCGCGCATGGCACCAGCCTTAGACACTCAGCTTCAGCACAAAGAAAAGAAGAGAAGAGCACCCCCGAATCATGCCAGCTGATTTTCGTCGTCTGCAACTCCTCGATGAGGGCGCTGCCTTTTTCCGGCAGCGACTGGATGAGAGAAAGCGCCTCTCCTCCGAAGATGAACTCTGTGAGCTCATTACCAACTGGACCACTGAGGACAAGAAGCGCATCTTCTCTGTCCCATGGTCGGAAGCTGACCTGGAGTTTTGGGTGCAGGTTTCTACCTGCCACGAACTGACTCTTTTAATTGAGGAGCGCAAGTCTCTTCTCTGCGGCCGTGCAGACTTTGATTGCGACACGGTCAACGATGACGTGTACTGGCGAAAGAATGAGGGTAGCACCTGGCCGAGACAGAGCTTGCCTGGACGCTACGGCTGGCTGTCGGATGCCACCTCAGTCCGCAGCTTGCTCAAATCCTACCGCGATACGGGAAATGCGTACAGCTTCCTGGATCAAATGGGGTTCAACGTGCAGAAGAACTCAGATGGTTCACCTTACAAGGGGTTCTACTTCTTGTTCTACACGCGGAAGCTTCTTGAGCACTTAGAGGATGCCCCGGTGGATGATGAAGGTGCTGCTCTTGAGCCTGTTCAGTTCTTCGTCCCTACATGGAAGCCGGCGCTGCAGGCTTGCCGAGACTTCTTCCTGAGGCCGGATCGTGTGCCCAAGGATCTCCGAGAGTGGATCCTCGGACCAAGTCCGGCCGCCAAGGAGCAGTGGCTGAAGGCGATCGACTACTACGAGCACGGTGTCGTTGGAGTTGGAGGTAATGATTCCGAAGGTGGTGGTAATTCCACTGGAGAACCGGAGATGATCCAACGAGTGCTCAAGTACGCAGCGAGTAACAAGAAGGAATGGCGAGCTGAGAACGGGAATGGTCCTAATAAAGTGCCTGATCCCACATTTGAACCCTTCCATGCGGTTCGGTACTTGCTGGATGCCAACTTTGGTGCCAATGAACTATTCAGTGGGGACGGCTACACGTACGATCGCGAGCCGAAGCGAGGCCAACGAGAGTACTGGGCTTCGAGCTTCCGAAGCTACGAGCAGAAACGAGTCTTGGTTACAGAATCGTGAATCAACAAAGGGAAATACGCAACAGAGTTGGTTTCGTTTATCTCTTCGTAAAGCTCGTTGCCTGCTCGGATAAAATGCCGTGCATTGTGCTGCATATACTCTCGCTGTTGAAATTGCAACTTCATGCCGCTTAACAGCTGTGCGGAAAACGCCAACATCAACGGAAAAGGAATGGTTCACGGATCGTTGCATGGCCACACGCAAAAAGTTCAAGAACCCACTATATATACATATATTGACGCATGTGATCACGTCGTTCATGAGCTGCAAGGCTGGAGCCAACTTCTTGTTCTTTGACAGCTCCCTCACCTTCCGTGTGTTGAATCGATTGTGCTGCGGCCGCAATGAGGTAAGCCCCGATCATCGGTCGAGTGAACCGTATCAGTCCTCACTGTAGCGATGCCTGCCCAATATGTTTTGCGAAACACCAGTTGCCTGGCCCTTTCAGGTATTATCCTGTTCGATACGTCCACGTCGCGACCTTCAGCTGCAGTTGGGGTGTGGGGGAAGGCTGAGGGGCTGAGGGGCTTAGGGCTGAGTGGTGAGATGGACTGTGCAAGGCGGACTGCCCTTTTGGTGAGGATGCCGGCAGCCACTGCCTCCAACAATCACTCAATCACAGTGATTCGACAACTTCCTGGTGAGCACTAGCAAAGCAACCTCCTACCCCTCTGAGGGATACCTTCTTACTATTCTTGCTCCTTTGCCAAGCACCAGGGGAGTTCGCCTCAGGATGTACTTAGACCGGCTGCGCGTCGAGGGCAGGGTGAAGATCCAAGACATCGTGCTGCATCCGCTGAATTGCTTCGCCCTTGTCAATCTGTTCCTCGGAATCGGAAGAGCTGGTTGCACTTCAAAGGTTTGTACTTGAACAGCTTAGCTAGCTTAGCTCGGTTAGCCAACAAGTACCGCGAAACGTCAGTCATGCGGGATGGCATTCCGAAGCGTTAGCCCCCCACCCACTTCCACCCCCCCGCCCCCGGGCCCGCCCCACCACCCCCCCCCCACCCCTCCCGCCCCCTCCCGCCACCCCAGCCCCCAACCCCCCCCCCCCCCCCCCCCCCCCCCCCCCCCCCCCCACCCCCGAACCCCCCCACCCCACAATGTTGAGCGTCATCGTCAAAAGTTCAGAAACCAGGGGGGGGAGGGTTGGGGCACTCACGGGTTGGAGTGTGATCACGAAAACTTCAACAAACACTGTTTTTGAAAACTGCAACTGTTGGTTCACTTGTTCATTTTGGGGGTAACAGTCTGGGATTGTTCACAGGTCTGTGAATTTTCGCTTCTGGTTGAAAGATGTCCGGCCCCTTGTTGGTCGTTTTTGCTGAGCAAGGGATGTCCAGCCACATCAACAACTAGTTTGCGACCTGAACGCAGTACTGCCCACAGTTTCGAACAAGTTGGACGATTTCCAACAGCCCCACGGAAGCAACAGTCCAGCCAGCCTCAACTGAAACTGCGCTACACATCGGAGTCAAGTCGCTTCCCAGATGAATGCACAAATTGGCTCTAACAGACGCACGACGGCGAAACATAGATCAACGCGATGCAACACTTTCGCAACCTGGCAGCGCAAAAGCCGAAGCAAACTCGGCAATCACAGAAAACCAGCGCCCTGTATTCAAGGAGAAGAAAAACAGAGTCTGGTCCCCGAAGAGTTACGTAAGCTCATGGCGGAGCGCGGCTCGGGCCAGTCAATGCTCCCTCACAAAGAATCTGAGGCTGGTTCAGATCATTCTGGTGCCACCCTCAGCAGTGGAAGAGACGCAGAGAGTTGCCTTCGCCTTCACTCTAAACTCGAAACCGCAGAAGTGAAAGCTGCCTGGCACACGAACCACTTGGCGAGTTGAAAAGCCGAATCCAAAACCCTGACATCCTTGCACGCTTTCCAGGTGTACATTGTGGTGCCCCAGGTCCGACGCTGGAGCCAGAAGCAGAAGGCAGAGGACCGCAAACAGTTGGATCGCGTGGAGGGCTTGGTAAATCAAGGTCCCTTCGTAGGGACCTCTTGAAAAGCAGACCCTAATCGGAACAACTTGCATATGAGATCTGGTGGGCTGCGGCATTATTGCGACATCATGGTCTGGTACTTGGTTCAATGAGTGGTGATCCGAAATTATGGTTGTGTCGAACAGGGCTTTAGTTTTGAGGGCTATGTCTAGCCAATCCCGCTGGTTCTCTAGCAGAAATCCGAAGTAAAGTGCTAAAATGCAAAGTTGACATGTCTGGGACGGGCTCCAGCAGGCCTTTATCGGAAGTTGTCAGTGCGCCACAATGTAATCTCCATTAGCTCTTTGACGTTACATGTGTTTATGTCTGCTACGCCTGCCGCAGCCCTGTGGGCCAACCCTAAAGAACCACGTCCGCACTTTCGACTGCGCTCACCAAAAGCCGTCTTGCCACAACCATCTCCAAGCTCCAAGTCTCGCAAAGTTGCCCAGGCCTCACAAGCCCGCAAAGCCCCGAAGCCCAGAGAAAAAGGAGTTCCAGCAGAAGACTGGCGGCTTGAGCCTGTCGGAGGCAGTTCAACGGGATTCTGTATTTTGTGCAAGCTTCTTTTCGTAAGCCACTCACAGACTGTTGCTAGCGAATTCAATCTATTCTGCAAAAAGCACGCAGAATGCATCGAAGGATGCAAGCTGCTGGGCATTCGCGGGGACAGGGTGTTAAACGAACATCAAAAAGTGTGAACACATATGCGTGAAGTGAAAGAATAGCGCAGTTAAACGATCAGTCAGTAGTATTTCATGGGAACAACGGCAGGTGCCTAGAGCAACCACGTTGCAGCCCTCATGCTTCAACAAAGTTGGTCAGTGTTCTTCGTCGGCAACAGCCTGACCAAGATGCTGCTGCTCTTTGCTGCATTGCACTTCAACAAACGGAAGGAAGATGCTGGACTTCGGGCTGAGGTCCCAGGTCCTTGCAAGCTCTAGGTTTACATGGGACGGGGCTCCAGAACCTGCGGTAGCACCTTTGTACGAGCAGGTCACCCTCGCAGCACGTTCGACGATGGCCGAGGAGAAGCCAGGCCGGGTGTGGAATTCTCGAGTTCCCTTACATCAGGATCTTGGTTTAGGGCTTCGGCAAGAGTACTGATACTCATACATCCTCGTCAAGTTGCCGCATGGGAATGCGTTCCACTACTCATGGATGCGGCCGGCCGTCATGTCCGTGATCATTCATGACGGGCAAGTCTAAACCGGCTGAGATTCTTGTGAGGCGGCACGAAAAGGATGCCCTCATCATGGCTTTCTCGTTGCCACGTGCACAGCAGATGGTATCGTTGCAAGATTGCTTCATTCTCCAAGCCTGATTGTCTGGCTTTAGCAGGGAACACTTGCATGTTAGTGCATGCTGCCAAGGGTAAAGTGTTGAAATTACACTCCGGCGACCCACAAACGCTTCCTCGCACGAAGCACGCGATATCAGGCCAATGTCATGCGTTCGTGTCCCGATTCCTTGAAGTCCCATTTCCTAGTGCACCCATCCTTCAGACGCCTTGGCTGAAGAAATTCCTGCACGTATTGAATGAATTTGGAACTGCTTTCCTTGTCAGCAACGGGACTGAAAGCGCAGGTCCCAGCAACAAGGTTCGTGCTCAATCCGGCCTCAGGTGGGCTTTCGGGGCTCTAGAGTAGCAAGGCCGTTTGTGAATAAGGTGGCTGCATTGGCTTTGTAGCCACATGCCGTGCGTAAGACGATGTATGTAGTCTTCGTAGCTGCGGGGCTCCACTTTCCAGACTTGGCTACAGTACCAAAAGCAGGTACCAAAAGCAGCTCTCTGCAAATTTCAGGAGAAGATCATGAAAGAGCGTATGCTTATCGCACGACGATTGAGTTTGCCACAAAGGGCGGCAAGCAACTGCAACCACAATCATCCTCCATGCCGCTCAGCTACCCCATCCTCACGAGAATAAGCAACATTGGTTTCCAGTTTCCACAACCTCCAGAAATTGGGAGGGCCAGTATTTTCCACGATCTGCCGGACGACCGCGGCGAGGAGAGTTGAAGGGAATGTGTCTCTTTGGGGGGATTCAGGGTTGAGGGGTCCATGTGGTGAGACCGAGGCTGGCACATGGAACAGGTGACTGAGATGCTTTTGCTGTTTTAATGCATAACAGCCCTGAGTTGACAAAGTTATGTTCGAGGAGTACAGGATCCACTTCGCAAGCGCGCCCCTCTTGGTAGGACAACTTCATCGAGGTGCTGAATGCCGTGGGGGATACCTTCGAGGCCCACGGGCCTTGCTTGAGAGCATCGAACTTGGCAGGACTTCTGAGGTTTCTGCGATACTGGGTACGCAGCTTCCTTCATGTAGCTACAAGACGAGGGTGTAGCTCACAAGCGTGAGAATGTATAAATATATATATATATATAATCTATATATAATCCATATATAATCTATATATAATCTATATATAATCTATATATATATATATATATTTATTTATAATAAGTTCCCAACTAGAGATCTGAGGATGGGACCCTAAGCGCTTCTGCCCACCAGGCTCTGCTGCTAGCAAGTCAGGCTGACAGCCCGCCCGCTGCCCAGAGCTTTGAGTTTCTTTCGGAGGTTGGCTTTAGAATCGTTGGAACACACACACACACACACACACACACACACACACACACACGCACACACGCACACACGCACACACGCACACACGCACACACGCACACACGCACACACGCACACACGCACACACACACACACACACACACTCCAGAATTCCTCGCCTTTTTTCCGGGCTAGTAGTTTGCATCGGGGCTCTGGCTTATTTGAAAGACCCGTTCCGGAAGGTCTTTGTCATCTATCCCCACATTCGACTTCACTTGCATTCCATCCAAAACAAACTGAAACCCAGGATCCTACCCAAGAACGCCCCTAAAGGGGTAAGCTTTCTAGGCGGGTCCGCTGTGCAGTTCTCCGGGTGGCTATCCAGCCACTGTCCGAGGCAGGAGACAGAATACAGAATATCTGAACCGCCTTCTGAACAGCGTTTTGGGGTTCGTGTCGGGTGGGTCTCGGATGTAGGACCTTGAGGCTTCCAGGCACAATGCGGAGGGGGGCAGATGTCCTGTCAACCCGATTGCCCCCGCACCCAGTTCCTAGGCCCGAGCATGGAAAAAAATGCAACTGTACCCCAAAGCCCATACGCCTTCAAAACCCCAAAGGCCCTAAACCCTAACCCTAAACCGCCTAAACCTTAAGCCCTAAGCCCTGGCCCTACAAGGCTTCATAACCACTTGGCCAGGCCGGGCCATCCAAGCTGCTGCAGCTGCTGCCGCTCATCCTGCCCCAGTTGCTGCTGGCCGGGGCGGCCTTAACAATTAGAATAGGGTTTTGGGGGGGTTATTGTAGCATAATTATAAAGGGACCATAGGGGAATACTATTGAGGCAAACTCTCACCTCTCAGTTGCCCTCTGATGCCCTCTGATGGCTCTAGGCCGCAGCCCTCGTCTTCTCGCTTGAGTGCGACCCCTGCCCTTGATGATCCTGATTTCTCATGTGTATGAAGCCATTTGGTTCAAGAGGCCACATGCCCTGACAGACCGGGACCTTCAGCCAGAAGCCTAGAAGCCCTCCCTTTGCTCATCATGGTGCCCAGCATGTCAGGCGGTGTCTCGGACGAGGCTGCGGGCGGTGCTGCTGGCGTAGCGGGCGCCTTTGGCGCCATTGCCGGCGACATCGGCGTTGCCAAACAAGCCTCTGGTGAAGACCGAGGTGATAACGGAGGTGATAAGCGCGGAAGTGTTACCAATCGTGGCCCCGAGCCAGCGGGCCGGTGGCCTGATCCGAGAGATGGAGCTTTGCAACAATGCCTCCTCCCAGGGTGTGGGCACGGCGAGTACGGCGGGTACGGGTACACAAAGTCTGAACTCAGATCCTTTCAACGTGCGGGCAGAGGAGCTGGCTATGCAGGACTGCTCACTGGGGATGGAAGTCCGCAGGACGTGGTCGGAGCAGGAGCTGGTCCGGTCTTTTGGGGGCCGGATGTCTCCGGGCACGCCTGATGGCATGTTCGAAACGTGGGACGGGCGGCTCACCTGTGTACAGGTCGTGCGTGTGCCACTCGTGAAGGAGGCTTCCACTCTTGCAATGCAGCATACTTTGACTCAGACCATCCTTGCAAAGGTTGTCAAGTCGCAAACCTGGTTACGGTTTGCGCATGTTACGCCCCACGACTTCATCATCTACTGCTGGCTCCCGTACCGCATCCCCGACGAGGTGACCCAGCACGTGGATGTGTTGATGTCAAGGCTTCAGGAATTGGATCCGCGATTCTCAGCCAGACTCCGTCTTCCAGCAGAGCCCGATGCCATCTTCCCGGCGCCCCTTGGCCCGTTGAATAGTAGTATCATTACCATTAGTCTACTATTGTTATTGATTTTAACGCTACGCGACCCGCCTCGGCCCGGCCCAGCGCATCCGCGTGAGCATGGTGATTCCGCAGCGCCCAAGTCGCTGGACCCCAAGCAATAAGGGTTGGATTTAGGGTTTAGGGTTTAGGGTTCCGGGTTTATGGTTTAGGGTTGAGGGTTAGTTTAGGATTGAGGGCTTAGGGCTTAGGGCTCAAGGTTCACGCTTTGGGGTTTAGGGTTTTTTTGGGTTTAGGGTTCAAGACGGTTCGGCTTGGATTGATCGTAGGGTTGAGCCAGGCCCCCCTGAGGGGGTAGGGGGGGTGGGGGGGGAAGAGGGGCAGGGGGGAAGGGGGGCAGAAGAAGGGGGAGGGGGGGGGGGGGGGGAGGGGGGGGGGAGGGGGGGGGGTTTGTTTAAGGTTTGAGGGTTTAAGGTTCTTCTTCTTCGGCTCGTGTAATGCATTGTGAGCGCTTGCTGGGGGGAAAAGGGGGAATGGGGGGGAGGGGGGGGTCGTGGGCCGGGGGGGGGGGGGGGGTGGGGTTGGGGGGGGGGTGGGTGGGGGGGGGTGGGGGTGGGGGGGGGTGGCAGGAAAGCACAACGAAGAGGGGAACTGCCTCTGGTCCTGGCGAACCGTCCGCTTGCGGACCCCGGTTTCCTACGGGGGGTACCCATGTGAGGCAAAAAAAAGGGTCCGAAAAATGGTTTTGGGTGTGGGGGGGAGGATTTGGAGGGGGGTGCCTGTTCTGACAACCTATACACCTCCGGCCCGAGGCCTCGGCGGATATCATTGTTACTATTGCTTTTATTGTTATTGTTATTGTTATTGTTATTATGAATGTTATTATTGTTATTATTATGTTCAGTGTTATTATTGTTGATGTTAATTAAAGTCAATAGTAGCTACAGTTACAAGTTGATGGTGGAGTCGCAGTCTCTGTTGTCAGAGTTTGGTGATCCATGACCCCAGGCTCTTCGCCAGCAACTATGAGGAGAGAGTCCGTCTGCGGACCCGGAGCCTGTCAGAAACTTTGATGCTCTTGAGAGTATGTGACTTCTCATGTTTTCACTAACATTATGAAACATTCTTCTAGCAGTCTCCAATTGAACAGCCATGGCAACACCCCGATTCCTTTGTTTTAAGCATGGACGAAGGAGACAGACGTGTCAACATTCCTGGAGGGCGACTATCAGAATGAAGACGACGACGATGAAGCCTGTGAGTGGGACATAACCTGGGATTGGTCTGAGGAGTCTCGGCGCCCTGTTCAGAGAGCATGCATGCACTAGGTTCCTAGGCCTTCTTTCACGCCTCAATATGCCACAGAAATCCGCATGACACGGCGCAAAGCCAGGCACTGTAACGCACATGGTCGCGCCACATATTCTCAACTCTAAACTTTGGATATCCAAAATGCCGGCAAGGAGGATGGTGACCCTGAGCCGGGCGAGGAGCAGCCTTCGGGCTCACCGGACAGCCAGCCCGACAGCGAGGGTCATGTGCCTGGGCGCATGGTGCAGGTATGATGTTGTCCCTTGTTCTTGCTTAGTTTCCGCGGCTGGTGGTGCGTACGAGGTGCCAGAAGTAACGAAGCATCCACGAACAGTCACGATTTGTTTTTTCGTAGCCTCTGCGTGTGAATCAGTGAAACGCCGATTGCAAGAGCGAGAACATTCGTGAAGGATCTAAAGGCAACACGCCTCCACACAGGTGTTCACTAAGACCCCCCCAAACCCTGCGACAGCACGGCACATTCTGAAAGCCGAGCGTGTCATGTTCACTTAAATGCAATCGTTCAGCAGCAGAGTTGTCAGGGTAGAGAAGCAGTGCAGTGATGAGAGGTTTATACAGAACCCTCCAGGTGCATGCTGCAGAGCTGAATGGCAGTTTTCTTCAGGAAGCTCCTCTGGCCGAGCCAGAGGAGTTTGTTCTCGAGTGGACTCTGACATGGGACGACAATGGGTGAGCACCAGACTCCCACGAGATGTGTCAGACACGGGAACAGAGTCTGAATTTGAAGGGCTGTGACTTCAAGTGACAACTAAACTGTCTGAACCGTGTTTGCCACTACACTGACAACACTTCAAGCTGCAATGGCTTGTACAGAGCTGCTGCAACACGCAGCACACGGGCCCCGGCATCGACTATTGTTAGTCGGTGCAGCGTGCGCAGTGACAAAAACGCTGCCACAGTCCTTCACCTTCGGGGACTTTTTCAATCCACCTGTCAGTCCCGAGCCCTAAACACCCTAAACTGCCCTAAACATGTTGCAAGGCGTTGCGTTGGAAGACGGTGGATGACTTTGAGGAGCGATCCGAAGCCCTTTGAGTCCTCCAATGGGCTTTGGGCTTGAGGGCGGCTTAGGGATGTTTGGGGGGCGGTTCAGAGCTACATGCCGTCTCACGCACCGGCCAGGCTCCCAAATAGTCTACCTCACGAGGAAGATGGAGGAAGTATACGGTGGAGGGGTTGGCCCAGGGTTTTGCAGCTGTTGGTGGCTGCTCATGGCTCTGCTTCGCATCGGAACATCCGCTGTTGCAGGTTCCCATCAAAGAACGACCTGAAGCTGCCATAGAGTTACCTTGAATTCTTCGGGTCGTGTGAAGCGTGGAGGGAACATTATTGGACTTACTTGGCGAGAAGCCATGATCAGGACTGCCCGCTGAGCTGCTTCATCTTGGAGAAGGCGCTGTCCACCAACACGCAATGACAGACATGCCCAGTTCAAGAGGCCCGACCCAAGCACCCAGACACTATGCTGATACCCCAGTCAGTCCTACGCCTTCCATACGCCCCGAATTGCAAGCCCTACAGTCTTCATGCACCTCTGAAAGCTTGCAGCACAAGAAACCCTTTGGATTTAATTGAATAGAGCTCCCAGAAAACTTGCGAATCCTGCACCCGCGACGTTGCAAAGTCCGTCCACGGCTAAGGCACTCGCCCTCAGCGACCCTGCGTTGGTCTCCATGGTACCGGGCCCAGGGATGCGGTGCAGGGCAGTCGGGGCTTCAGAGTCATTGCGGTAGGCGTACATGCTCCGACGGCTTCGTAGCCGCAGCTGTGAGGTTTGAATCGTTTTTTGGGCCCTTCCAAGGTCTACTGGCAGCTCCTTGGCCTGGCGACCGACAAGTCGGACAAAGCATCCCCAATGTGCGACCCATACTGGGGGGGCTGGCAGAGGGATGGGAGCCTCGTGCCCTGATCTTTGCAGACATGTGTGGATGATAACTCAGTGTCGGTACATCCTGCTCGCACGTACCTGCTTTGGAGCCATATGGCGTGGGCTTACAGGAATAAGAAAGCACAGCAGCTTGATTCTGCGGGGTTGGGGTTGCAAGATTCTCTTTTTGGGACTGCAGACGCCTCATTCGACTGCAGTCGAGCTCCAAAAAAGCCAGTCGCGCCTGACACTTCAAAGTCCATTCGGGTGACTTTTGCCACATTTAGCAAGGACACATGGCAACTTAGTATGCTCTCTGAAACTCGAGGCAGCCGAAACTGTTCTTGAGATTGTTGCTGCCACTCCATCATGGACCCCACCGCGGGCTCGATGGCGCTGACTCCTTTTGCTGCGCCGTCTAGGTCACCAGCTCAGAGCGAAGATGCCCATAGATGCCATAACCTACACCGGTTGAGATGACCAGCACAGCCAGAACAGTGCCGTGTAATCACAGCCATCCCTATCCCGTGCGGACAACTGCAATCACAACAAGCCCTGCTTCTCCTGCTAGATATCATTCTTCCTTGTTCTGTCAGTTCTGTCTCACAATTGTCGCAGCAGTCCTAACCGAAAAAATTGAAATTGTGGGCGTCTGTGTCTGTGATGTTGTATTTGGTTCTGTATTAATCCTGCCGTGTCGACTGCAAAGGTCGAGCACTCGGCGACCGTCAGCCCTTCCTTCGGCTCCAAAGCGGGCACATGGACTCAGAGTGAAGCAGTGCCTCAAGAGTTCGGCTTTGCGGAGTCCAGGGCACATGAGAATTCAGTTCAGCACGCAGGTTGAAGGTGTGTCCTCTTTCGATGTTGAGGGCGTCGTTACTAGGGAAGTTGTGCATTGCGCCAGCCTCATATCCGAAGCCCTCCTGAGTCTGAGCTGGTCTGTCATCGGTGTGGGTTGCTTGTGCTTAGTCAAAGTTTAGCCGCTCAGCCTCGTCTTTGCCAGTAACGCGTGCCGGTCCAGGCTCCCTTTGAGCGAAGGGATTTGCAGAACCAGGCTGGGAGGGAGCAAAAGGGAGGACGGGTCGAGGGATGTCGGTGGGGCTTTCGGAGTTTGTGGTGCAAGTGGGGCCCCGAATCCTCAAGCCTGCAGTAAAACTCCAACAGACAGGATGAAAGCTTGTTGAAACCTCTCAAACACTGCGACGGCCGCTTTTCGGTCCCGATCCGCCCTCGCTCTTCGAAGCTCGCCAAAGCCCACTCATGCACTCGAAGCAGGGAAGCAGCAGCAACCTCATCATTTCAAGCATGCTTGTCAAGCATGATGTTGTTGCTTGTTTATGCACACGCGTAGACGGTCCCCTGAACGTCAGTTGTTTGATATCCCTCGGTGGGGTCAGGTTCCCAACTCCATGCCCCGTCCAGGACCGTGCCCACCGCGCTTGGGCCGGCGCGGGAGCTTTCTTGGGCACTGGCTGCGCTCGCGCCTCACGGCAGGGCGCCCGGGGTTCGGTTCAGGATCCAAAGGTTGCGAGCCCAGGCATCTTCTTGTTTGGAGTCATCGGACTTGGAGTTTTGGGTCTGACAGGCCTGTCGAGCAAAGGTGGGGGACTTGCTGGTGAGGTACGTTCCGGGTCATGGGAGACTCATGTCGTCGGTTGATCAAAGGTCGGCACGCCGCAGCCTTCAGGCGCCAAAGGACGAACAGCCGCCGCTTGATTTAGAGGCCTGGGCGTTAACTAACCATTTGAGCCGCATATACATCCTTGAATCCCACAACTCTGGACTCTGAAAGTCTAACAGGTTCAAGCTAGCCATTGAAGCATAAGAGACGCTATGGCTGCGCAGGACTTGCCAGATGACCCTGTCGAAGAACCCTCTGCAGTGCCAGAGGACATCCTGCGGCAGTCTCGGGCATGTGGCTTAAAGAGTTGGCTCTTGCAACTTGCAGTGGAGACCCTCGGTGTGTGTCTTCTGGATGCTAGACCCAGAACAGGATCGCTGCGTCCCTGCCCAACATGCATCGTACACCCACAACATCCCACAACCCCCTTGGCCCTTTTGTCGATGAGTTTCGTGCAGAAAAGAGGAGACTACCGGCACTGGGCCATCAACGGATGCCGCGGAGCCGGAGGTGTCACCGGAGATGCCTTCCGCCGCCCCCTGTCCGTGTTTCAGAAGCCCTTAGACTCCTTGGAATCCCAGAAAGCCTCCCGGAGCTTCAAAGACCAAAGCATAGGAATCATGGCAGCCCGAGGCCTCCGAAAAACCTGCCGTACAGAGGCCTTCCAGGTTGACATGTGTTCAGGCTACCGAAAGTTTATTTAAAAAAAAGGCCTCTCGGGGGCTTCAGCAAAAGACTTCCTGTGACAGTTCTGCGAGGCCGAGCCTTCTACTCGCACGGAGGACGCACAGCACAGGTTGAAGTCCATCAAACCTCGGGGACCTAAGGGACCGTCGAAAGCTTGAGCCTTTTGAGCCACTGAGCCTCTGAGCCCAGTCCATGCGAAAGGACGAGCGAAGTGATCCATCCGAAGCTTCCACTGCAGCCGAGGAGGACTCGGTCCAGGGGGACTGATGCTTTCTCCTCTGTTTGGCTAACGTTCCACCTCTGCACCCACCAAATTCACATGCCGACTACCCACCGACCCATCCCACGACTCACTTCTACCCGTGAGAAGCTCCTTTGGACACAGAAGACAGTTCTCGCGATGCCACCTACAGAGTTCTGGGTACTTGTGGCCTACTTGTCCTGGGATCCCTACTCCCAAACCTTATCAGCCTCCCCAGTGCTTCCAACCCCACGTGGAGGGATCCCATGAAGATGACAAGCCCTGAGCACGTTCAGCATTGGTCTCACAAGGAGCCTGTGACGGACGGCGTGGCGTCTGACAGAGAGGACCGACAGCAACTCTGTCTGAAGTCGATGATGTTGATGTTTGGCATGTGTCTTCTAAGTCTTGTGTTGAGCCCAGATTTTTTGACAAAACTTAGTCATTAGTTCGCTCGCACCCATGAGGTACTTGCTTCGAAATCTCTGAGTTGCTAGAGCGCTCCCAGCATGACAGCCTTGGCACAGGGTCACACACTTCAGTCCTGGAGGCAAGTGGCTGGTAAAAGGGGGAGCAAGACTTGAAACTTCGGGCATGGCCCAAGTCCTAAGCCTGCCACTTCCGAAAGCAGGATGAGGCAGAGTTCGCAAATAAGACTCGACCTTCATGCCCAACACCCCCAAGACCCCCGCAACCTCTGAAACCCCTGAAGCTCCTGAAGCACAACCCCAAAAAAACCCTTGGGCACCCCTGGACCGGAGGACCTTCGCGAGATTCCCTTCGCCGAGGCCAACCCCATGAGTGCTGAGGAGCCCTTAGGGTTTCGCTAGGGTTTAAGGTTCAGCGGTTCAGGTTTTGTGTTTGAAGTGTCACGTGATTAGGGAGTTCATGAGGTTTTGTTGCAGGGTTTTGGGAGGTAGGGCGTGGGTTTTCGTTTTGCTGGTGGGGATTGATGGGGCTAGCGTTTAGTTTTTGCCCTATCCATCATCCAGTTTTGTTGGATGCACGAGTGTATTGAGGCATTCCGCGCTTGTAGACCTGAACCCATCGAGAGGTCTCCGTGCTCATTAGGCGCTTCCCTGTTGTGGCCCTTGACAGGTCTGAGCCTTCAGGGGTGGGTTTCGAATTTCGAAGACTGGCAACAGCGAGTCTGCCCGTGCTCGGTGCAGGAAGCTTCTCCGAGCGAAGAGCTCTCAGACACAGAGGCTGGAGCCCCGAAGACGGTCTGAACTCCATAATCGCCCTAATCCTGGTGCCATGCAGCAACGGCATTTCTTCTTTGCAGGCGGTAAATATAGATTTAAGGGATCACGTTTTCAAAGAGTGCAGTGTCGCGTATGTCTGTGCAGGAAGTACATAGGCATGGCTCAAGTTTTAGACCGAGGCCTTCCTTCTCGAGGAGGTGGGCCTTACGCAGAAGCAGATGCGGAAGGCGACTTTCGCTGCTCTCGCCTTGTTGTGGTAAGTTTAGGGCTCCCGGAAGCTGCGCAGCTTAAACGAATAGGTGCTCATATACAAACACCAGAAAGAGGGTGCAGCATCAATCTCTCTGGATCCCTTCTTCATGAGCAGATCCGCACCTTTTGGTCCTACAGTGGCGAACGGCTGCCACCATTGGGAAGGTGCCCACCTCAGGTACTTAGGGGTTTACGGAAATAAGGGAGCCCGAATATAGCCTGAATTTCGGAAGCCCCGACATGTATGTGAGATGACTGATTTCGTGGTTCTTGAGATGCATTCACACATGGGCTGGTGGCGGCCTGTCCAATGTCTTCAGCGCGAAAGAATGTGGAGCCCCCGCTGCTTCACGTGCAACCAGAGCCATGTGATATCATGAACAATAAAGATTGCATACTTTGCTATGGACAAGGTAACAGTGAGCTTGCACTTCAACAAGCATCATGCCAAAGCTGCAATGCACTGATGAGGTGCCAGATGGTGGCGGACTACTTTCAGAATGACGTGGGCTTGAACGAGGAACAGCTGCGCAGGCGGGATCCTGTACATGTAGAAAAACTCCCTTTCGGTGTCTGCGCTGGAGTACTTGGTTGGACTAGTCGGTTTGTCTCGAGTTGATCTTGGAATTTCATACTTGCACATGGCAGCATGCAGGCATGTGCAAAGGTGCACCTGTGCTTTCTGCATTGCCATCTATGCATGACATGTCGATTGGCAAGGGATGCACTGCTCGTCCTGGCGTCCCTGGCAGGACCATTGCTGACTGTCCCGAGGCGCTTGAGGTCTTCTCCGTGGAGACACTGAAGGAGAAGGAGAGCTGTGGATGTGTCGTTGAGTTCGTTGCGGGCTTGTATACAACTCCATATGTCTCAACACCGGTGTAGTTTTGCAAACATTTTGGGCTCTGCGTACTGCACGCGAGAGGTCGGGGTTCATGACTGTAGATTCGGGACACTGACTCAAAGCAAAGTTTCCGCTCCGAC